TTCACATAAATAAAATACACTACCCCCCATACACATAACAAAAATACACCCCCTCCCCACATATAAAATAATACAACAACCCCCCCCCATCGCACATAAAATAAAATAATACAGAGCCCCCTCTTCTGCCTACCTTTTTTCTGGGAGGAGGCACAATTGATCCCTGGTGCTCTAGTAGGTGCTCTAGTGGGTGATTAGTGAGGTCTGCTGCAGACCTCACTAATCCATCCTTTCTTTCGGCCGGAGCTCAGAACTGAACTGAACTGAAAGGATCTGAGTGCCAACGGTGACAGAAGCAGCCGTTTGGTCTGCATTCGACATAGATGCAAACCGTGTAGCTGCTCCTGCAAGTCAGGAACCCGGTCTGTGACCGCGTACCTGACTTGTCAGCTGGCTGCAGGCCACATAATACCGGCTCGCGGGCAGATACTTTGAGACCACTGTTGTAGGGCCACCAATGGGACTGTGCATTGATAACTTGTACACTTTAGACTCCATTTTTTAAAAGTAAATCACAGCATTCAGATTTTTCCTTTCCCTCTTCCTCACTGTAAAGAAAACCTGACCAACTACTCCCCAGAATAGGCAGTTCTACATAAGACTCACTTTGTCTTTTGATGGCACACCATTTTGTTTTGACAAAACAGGCTATGGCTGCTAAGCTTCTCATTTTAGGACAAAAGCAAAAACAAAATACCTTCTTTCAAATCTGGAGATCTGCCCTTGTAGCAGTGGATGCCGATTTCCTCTTATTATTCCTCTCCCAAGGTGACTAAAATCATTGACAGCTGGAGGACTGAATCTAGTATGATCTCCATTTTTGTGTAATGGTACTGAGGTCCGAATGGCAGATACAACATGACCAGAGTGTGGATTCAGTGCAGTCTCATGGCCAAGAGTGTTTGGATGGCTGGAAGTTATTTCAGCAGCAGAATGTTGGTGGCTTGAGCCTTGGTAGCTTCTTTCATGGTAGTTTGCTGGTAGGCAGGGTCTAGTCTGTTCCATAACACCACCACTACAGCTTCTAGAGCAAGCTGACCAAGGTCCCCAGCTGCCCCAAACACCAGCAGATCCAGCACTGATATTGTCCATTGCTCCACTTTGTTGTTCTATCCTCTGTGGAACCTGTAAACATAGAACCAGAAATATAGTATAAGAGCAAATAAACAAGAAAGCAAAACAACATGTTTATATTTTATATGGAAAGAAAACAAGGCCCGCATTTGGTCTCAAACAGAAATGGGTGCCAACCAATGAAAATATGACACTGTTTATCCTACTTTTTAAATGAAATTTCTACTTAAATGGTTTATATAAACACAAATTGCCACGACCTTAAATTTTTGGCAGACTGTGATCACAAACAGTCAAAAATAGGTTCTGGAAACTGTTTGTGGTTGTGTGATTTAATATGAAATTTGTTACAGTTCTGTAGAGGAACACCTTTGCAGTCACAAAACAATCACCTGGGGTGTAGCTAAACTGCTTTGGGTTCCAATGCAAAATCTGAAAATCCGAGACATCTCCTCATTAGTAAAAACTCTTAGTATACAGGTGAAACTCGAATAATTAGAATATCGTGCAAAGTTAATTTATTTCACTAATGCAACTTAAAAGGTGAAACTAATATATGAGAGAGACTCATTACATGCAAAGCAAGATAGTTCAAGCCGTGATTTGTCATCATTGTGATGATTATGGCTTACAGCTCATGAAAACCCCAAGAACCCCAAATCCACCACCTCAAAAAAGTAGATTATTACATGCAATCAATAAAACAAGGAGTGTACATGGAACAATATCGGACCTCTGAAAAGTACAAGCATGCATATGTACTCAGTACTTGGTTTGGGCCCCTTTTGCAGCACTTACTGCAATTACTTTTGCACGATATTCTAATTATTCGAGTTTCACCTGTACTGCAGGAATGAATGCATGTTGGGATAAACTCACAGCTGTAATAAAAATGGTTCCGTTTTTGTAATGAGTGGAAGAGAATCAAGCATTCCTACAAAATGGTCAGAGCTGGACCCCCAAGGCCAGACCTTATCCACCAAGTCTTAAATAATTAAGAGATACTGTATAACACTGTTAGAATTAAGAGTACATTACAAAATAATTATTACAGTGGATAGAACTTTACTTAATTTAAAAGATAACTAATAAAATATACATTTAAGGCAACTACAAAACCCAAGTAAATCTATACAACTGTAGATTTTTAATAAATCCCTGTATATACAGTAAATTAACTCCCTATATAAAGAGATGTAAAATTCAAGCTTTGAGCATTTTTTTTAAAAAAGGGGATGTTTGTCATATGTAAACCGAAAATATTTTTTTCAGTATGTTTGGTAACTTCCTTAACTGTATAATATTTCTTATGCAAATCATGTTTGTGAATTTGTTGTAAAGTGTCTTACCTGGTGATCCTTCCAGTAACATCACTCACTTTTTCAGATAGACAGCACTAGGCCATTGCCTTGCATTTAGAAGAAATGCTGCCAGCCTACTGTGCATACCCCTTCAATTGGACATTAGGTTGCCTATCAGTTTATAAGGAGGCATGTGCAGATGTTAGAAGCAGCCCTGTCCCAGCATTGGGAATGTGCACAGTCACTTAAGCACCTAGAACATGTTATAATGGCAGTATTGTGCAGGGCATATTAGTCAGTACTGGCACTCCCTGTCTCAGTTTAGCTCCATATGTGTAGGCGAGTATAGAAAGTTAATAATTTAAAGTCCAACTCAAGACAAGTAAAACATTTAAAAAATGTTGGATAGTAGGGAATGACACCCTCCAAACCTCTGCCCCTCCATCTCTGGGCTCCTCTGCATTTATTACAAGCAGGGTCCTCGTCTTCCTATTTTACCCCACTGGAAGTACATTCTTCTGCACTGAGCAGCACTCACATGACTGAGCACCACTCTGTGAAAGCAGTACTGCTAGACCCTGATGGGGTGATAATGCATCCCAAGGGGGAGTGTCCATTGCTCCAAGTGCTCACAGGAAGAGCGGCTGAAGCAGCAGCATAGAGCAGTGTATTTTTAAAGGAGAGCACCAGAAAAAAATTTAATTATTGCAGAAAAGGCTGCATTTTAACCACTCCTGGGCTATTTTTTTTAAACTGGAGTTAGATTTAAGAATTCTTTATTTCTATCTGTGAATACATTAGGAGGATTTTCTCTCAATGGCTGTCCCTGTGACACCCAAACACAAAACAGATGTGAAGGAAGGAGTGGACAGCAGTAAAAACGTTTCCCCACTCTATAATAATGTATTTTTGTTTGTGTTCTGAAAGGAAGTAAAGGGAATTCTCACCGACAGGTACACAGATGGTAATACAAAAACTGACAGAGGCTCTAAACTTGCCCACCTAATATTTATTTAATGTCCAAATCCAGCCCAAACTTGTATTTTCTGAATATAGATAGAGTGGGGTAGGTTATAACCTCTCTGGTTTTTTTTTGTTTTTTTTGTAGAATTGTGGGGGGTGATGCTTTAAGAGTAGTACTAATAGCAGCTCGGTGTTGTGAGGGTTAAATATAAATTAAGCACCCATTTAAACATTATTTCTCTGCAGAACAGGAGTAACACGTGCACTTTTGCCTTTAATTCAATTAAACACTAGTTTATGGGATATTATACAAATAAATCAAATTCCATCCTTCAGCCTTCATTGGGGAATGCAACAAGTGTGAGACAGAAATCCAAAACAAGAACAGTAATAGAAACAGTATGTTAAACTGTCGGCTCCAAGGACACAGAAATTCTACAGATGAATGCAAGATCCTGCCAGTTTTCTCAGATTGTAGCTTTTTTTAGATCTGAAACAGACATGACCGAATAATAATCGTGTAAATAGCAGTAACTAATGGAGCTGTTCTCAGTGCCCGGCAGTTATTTTCTTTAGAGCTCATAGTAAAGCAGAAGAGGTTCCAAAGAGGAACGGGAGTTTCGTCCCATGTGATGGAATCGTTGGATTGTGAGCAAAATGAAACATTTTTCACTGGGGTGGATCTGTTTAGGCATCGGGCCACATCACTTTTGAGTGTTTTCTTTCCCTTTTTATTCTTCTAAGTGCTGAATGCGTCCCCGTTCCCACACTCCTGAAGTCAGCCAATGTGTGTTGCCTGTATTGTGTGTAATCTTCTGAGGTGACCCATGATGGAATTCTTAATGTCTTTGAAGAAAATAAACCACTAACTGTACCCACATACTACTATACACATAACCTCCTTGACCTTAGAAAAATAAGTCAGTCTCTGTGTCTCTGTCTCTATCTATATTTATTATACACACAATAAACTTTGGACACTGCTTTTCACAAACTACACAGTCCCCCCTCTTTTGTAGGGGTGAAAGCAAGACTGAATCAATTTATGAAGAGTTTGCATGCGTCCACTAACTGTGACAGATTTGTGCTTAGAAAGAATCAGGATGGATTCGGTAATGACTCTCTATGGGGTAATGACTTTCTAGTGGAAGTTTGGAGACCAAGAAATCTGGAAAAGCCTTATTGACTAAGCCCCCTGGTGGAAGAGAGACCTTAGTGAGGATTTATTTGTTTTATGGAAGATAAATGCTATAAACAATCTTCATGTTTTATTAGACACGCTTCTCTTATCTTCATCAGTGTATTCAAGTTCATAGATCCTATTCTCATTGGCTAATAGGGCCAATGGTGCCAGTAGGCATCCAACTGAGCTGCAGATGAGGGATAAATGCTTATTCTGATACATTTAAAGTGGGGTATCTGTAAATGTATCTCATGAGATTGTAGTAGAAGTGGTTTGAACACAGCCTTTTGTTCCCAAAATGCTACTCTTTTATCTTAGAATTGTTTTACATATTAAGGTGTTGACTTTTTTTGATGGGATTGCAGGTAAAGTTACCTTCTGATGGCTTTTCCATGCAGATGGCAATTGTGAAAGCAAGATTGCACAGTTGCCTGATGCACCACTACTCAAATAATAACTAAACCTTATTGCAGGTTCTTAGTAGTGTTGTGGGGGTTTTGCTTTGCATTTCTGAACAGTGTACAAGCAGTTTTATCAAGTTTTATCCCTGTCTTCCAGATGTTGTCATTACAACTGTTCCTGTTAACATTCAGTTAATGGACATTACAGATAATGGAAATTGGAAGCAGAAAGCATGTACATATATTCTCTGTAAGAGCAATTTATCTTTTCAGATATTCACTTAGCTGCAAAGAGTAACCCAAGTTTGTTGGGTCTGAGCAAAACTCCTTCAGAGGTGTCAGAGTTCAGAGAATCTATTTAGCTTTCAAACTGTCTTGGCCTGAAATTAACGGACTCCTAACAAATCAAGGAAGTTCTGGGACCTGACAAAAAGGAAAAAACAACACTAGTGTAAGAACTGAATGGAAGCCCAAATGGAACATATATGCCAAATTTTCAGTTTTATTTAACCACTTGCTGACCAAGTGTTTACACCCCCTTCCTTGGCAGGCCATTTTTCAGTATATAGTGCTGCAGTACTTTGACTGACATTTATTCCGTAATGCAACGCTGTACTGAAATGAATTTTATACATTGTTTTGGGGACAGACAGAGCTTTCTTTTGGTTGTATAAACTGGGGGTTTTATTTTTTACTATATTATGGAAAAATTACTGAAATTTTGAGAATAAAAAGTTTTTTTTACATTATGTTAGGAAACAATTATTATTACCCAAGTTTTTGGTAAAATATAAAAGACGGGGTCACGTCGGGAAAATAGACACCAAACATGTCTAGCCTGATCATCAGCTTCTCTCCAGCTTCTGAAGTCAGAGAGTGACAGAAGAATGCGGAAGTAATGTTATACACATCACTTCCGCATTCTGACACCGGAGAGGGGACCCTGTCACAGAGCCACCATGCTGGTCCCAAGCTCGCACTGGGCACAGCGTAGCTCAGGACCAGCAGAGGGGGGGGTTTACACAGAACGGCATGTTATGCAAGCAATCCGCCGGCTGTATCGTTTGGATATAAACAGGCATCACTACCTGTTTTTAAATTTGGGCAGTTTCCGGTGGCACGCATAAGTGGACGGGGCCAACAGGCCATTTTTATAGACAGCCGGTCAGATCCAGGAAGCTCCC